TAATTTGAGGAACTTTCTGTTAAGAACTGTTAACACTAGTCTAAATTAATTCATTCCTCTACAGGATACCATCATGTTCTTATTTCCTCCCTTCTCTTCTGTGGTTGGTTAGCAGGTACATGAGGGGCTTCAACCCAATTAATTAAATACCCAGTTATCCCAACATTCATTCCCATCCTCCCAAATGCCCAGTCCCTGCAAGACCAACTAAGGGGAGGGGAAGGTGAGGCAGAGAGTGGTATAGGATCTTCAAGAGCTTGTACTGTGCTTGGCTATAGACAAAATCTAAAGGACCTGCAAGGGGTTTCTGATTTTGTAAATGGAGTGCATTAATCTATTCACGTGGAGTTGACTTAAGCAGGAACCAACAGGAAGATCACTCCAAGGAGGAAAAAAATCACACCAAGGGAAAGGCAAGCACTGAAAAAGAACCAACTACTTTTTCTGTTTAACAACTAAATAATTATAGTGATGACAATAATAACAAGAGTCATGATGATGAAAATCTAATGATCTGGCTACACCTTTTGCAAAGACGATACCTCCTGTCTTCCCTCCTTAAGTAGCCCTTAAGACCTGGACCTTCTCATAATCCAATGAGAAGATGCTTTTGTAATCCTTCATCCAGCGCCATCAACAATTGCGTGCATGTATGATGTGTTACCCTTATTATATTTCCTACTGCTAATGGCGAGCCCATGACTGAAAAAATTCTATGGTGTTGACTGTATTCATGTAAAGTATATACAAAATAGGTAGAGACAGGAAAAACGGATGTATGAACAAAGATTTCAGGTAAGAACTTTAATTATCTCAATTAAGAATAAGTCTATAATGTAAGCAGGAATCATTTAGCTACTCATCAAATTCAGGAGGCAGAAAAGCCTCTTCCTACTTTCATGCCGCATCATTATCAGAACACGAATTGGTGGAGGGTTGCTGATCTTGGTCAGCCTTTGAAATTTGGTTTGGCTCCCAAGTGCTTCCTGGGCAGTAGGGATGCAGTGAGAAGCAATGGGTGTCAGAAAATCACAGTAATTTTTCACCATGAAGCCAGAAATTGGTCACAGAAGCACTATAAATATATGCTGAAAGTTTCCATTTTCTGCTGTTTTTTTAAAGCTTTCCCTTTAGACAATAATCAAGTCATTCTTTATCTACAATATACATGCAATCAGATTATTAAAGAGTTGAAAATAAAGGCTATACGAAAACAATTTTTGCGTCGTCATGCACATATCAACACTGTTCTGGTCTAAAATATTATTTATTCCCCCCAAGATAAAACATTACAGAAAGTTTAAATAAATTTGTTTCATAAACACTCAAAAAGGATGAAAGTTTATCATTTAAAAATACTTCAGTTCTACCGCGGATTTAGTACTTTTGGGCCCTAGTTGCTGAATTGCTTACAGTTTCTGGGCTATAAAGTAACATGTGACTTACTATGTAGTCTCCATGAAATTTGTAACTTGTCTGTGAAATAAAGGTTATCTGGGATTTTTAATGTGTGTGCTTGGTCTTAGACCAGCTTTTAGTACAGTTTAAACACAGTGACAGAACAAAGGTCTATGTTTTCAAATGGTGCTCTGGCTGGCTGATAATTAAAAGACCAAGAGTGAAATCAGTGCTGCCTGCTGATAATTAACTCTTTTCCTTTCTTCTTTCATGGCAGTCAAATCCTTCTGATTTGGAAAAAACATACAGATGACTGATAGGTAGACAGACAGACACACACACACAGAGGTGCAGAGTGAGATAGATAAATAGACACTAGATGGACAGACAGACATCAAGATTACTTTAGTGAGATCCTTAACAAAAAACAGGAGGAAGGCGCTAGTACTTTATAAGTGCCTCCTTGGCTAGATATTTCACATGTTGATGTATGTCTATGTGTATTCACATATTATGTTATACATTTTACATGTAGTATATAACTCTATATTATGTAGATAATTTATATAATTCACAGACTATTGAAAGAGATTATCTCCACTGTACAGCTGAGAAAATGAGGTTCACAAAGTTAAAACTATCTTACACCAGGTCTCACACCTAGTAAGTGGTATGTATGACTCCAAGACCGGTACTTTTTCTACTGTCTCCTAAGACAGCACCACTCATCTGTCACCAGGAATAAACAGAACCAAGTTTGTATCATCACCTACGTGAAATTGATGATGAAAAAGCCATTGGCTAATGATGGGATAAGCAAAGCAGACGATAACCAAACTTGGCGTTCAGTCTCTAAGAAACATTTCCTCCCTCCCTTGGCAGTTGGCCTCTAGGAAATTGCTGGTTTGGGTGAATAAATAGGAAATTGATTCCTTGTCAGCTGTCAGCCAATCACAGAGACATGAATTTGGAAAATCGTCACAATAAACATGAGAAGCATAAATCAACACTTCAAATTAAAAGCAAAATGATTTGAGATGTATCTGGACCCTGCTGGTCACACTGGTCCTCCCCATGAAAGCAGTTTTCTGTTCTTTTGTAATCACAGCCTCAAAGAGACCCTTGCCTGCTCATCTACCCAAGACAAGGTATCCAGTGGCTCTAGCCAGGGTGTGCTCCAGGGATTCTAGCAAAACTTGATCTCATGAGAATCTAAGCCAAGAGGATTGTGCTGGGGTGAAGGCATGCCTCAACTGAATTTGCCCAAACTAGACTCTTTTCTCTACATCACAAAGCTCTACCTTTGCCCCTCTGCAAGTTTGATTCTGAATCCCTCCCTGCCCATCCTCACCAGCAAGGCAGTGTCTTCACTGCTGAGGGCCATTGGTGCCCGGAAGGGTTGTTCTATACAAAACGGCACCTGCAGAAATTCCCAACTGTCCGTTTGAGATTTCTCCCCAAGGAGAAGTGACTTGTTACCCTGATTCAGCAGCATTTCCCAAAGTGTGCAATGATATACTTGAAATTTGTTACCAGGTTAGACCTTACGTTTACTGTTCTTACCACACATAAAAAATAAAAATAATAAAGGGGCTGGGAGGAAATTTTGGGAGGTGGTGGATATGTTCACAGTCGTGATGGTGGTAATGATCTCATGGGCATATACTTACCCTAGACTCATCAAGTGAAGACATTACATATGTGCATCTCACTTACAGAAGGCCGTATCCACATACCACCTAGCATCACTTAAGTCCATTTTAATAGAAACAAAACAAGCAAAAGCACACAAAGAGAGGTGAGGTCCACACCTGGTAACTGCAGGTAGCACGTTCTGGTGTTTCTAGAACCTTGGCTGTGATGTGGTGGCACAGGAAGGGCACAGGCTTACCAGGATGGAGGTGTTCTGTTTTCTTTCTTTCTTTTTTTACCATTTTCATGCACTGAGAGGAAGGAGTCCATGGAACAGGGGAGGTGAGTGGAGGAAGAGGTTCTGATGGGAGCTGGTCGGAGAAGCTGGGAGCCAGGGCCCAGCTCTCAGTTTTGGATGAATCTTCGGGCCTGGGCCAGAGGAATGATGCTGCTTCCTCTGAGACAGAACAGACGGAAGTGATACAGGAGTTGAGGGAGGGATGTGTGTAGCTAAGGAGGGCGGGATGGAAGGGGTTTGGCAATAGTTTCTATTTTTGCCACAAAACAGAACAGTGTAAGGTCATCCTCTGAGAACTGAGTCTGAAGAGACTGGGAAAGTCTGGAATGCCCACTAAAGGCTTGTAGTCAGCATGGCCCAGGCCACCAGAAGGATGAGGCGTCACATCCTGAAGATGTCACAGGGCCACGTCAGCAGGTGTGTGATTCTCAGCAGCATCTGATGACCTGGGAGAAAAGCAAACCAGGTGCCCAGCAGCTTCAGCTAGGGTCAAAATGGAGCTGATGCAGGTGCAACTTGGGGAAAAGCAAATTAAACGTTCTCAAAGGCTCTGCAATGATCACTCCTCCTCTGCTCACATAAGGCCAACACAACACCTCCCTGCGGAGCAGGACACATGTGTATCCATACCTGCTCAGCGCACAGCTGAGGAAGGTGTGAACAACAGCCCAGCTTGAACCAAAGAGCAACCAGGAAAGAACCACATGCAAGGCACATCAACCCAAACCATCTTGAAAGGGGAAAAGAGAATTTGTCAGGCAGTTCACTTAGAAAGAGGCAAATTATTTTTTTTGTAATAATTTTAATCCTAAGAGGAGATCCCTCTCATCTGAGGGTGAACCCCCACCCACCCCGGGAGACACCCGGTACTACTGTCTGGCGACACATTTTGTTGCCACAAATTGGCAGGAGAAAGGGGTTGGGACGTGCTACTGGCATCTAGTGGGTAGAAGTTGCTCAGCATCCCACCGTGTACAGGACACACCCCAGCTCCCCACAGCAGCAGAGGACAATCTGACCCAAAACGCCAACAGTGCAATAGGGGCTGAGGGGCTTCCATCCCCTCATGTTTCTTGACTCGGGGGTGGTCACAAGAGTGTGAGGACTTCGTAAAAAGTCACTTAAGATGTTCGCACCATCCAGAACGTCTATTATACTTAAAAGTCGAAATCAAAGCGCCCCACCACTTAGGCACCACCACTCGACCCTCTGGGGGAGAAGGAAACACTGGGTTAGGCTGTATCCAGGCCCGCAGATGGGTGCTGGGCCGGTGGTGGGCACGCCCGTCACCCCTGAGACCTCAGAGTCCCCTCCAGGAACCCGACCTCTTCTCCCTTCTCGGGATTTGTGGGGTTTTGTTGAAGAGCAAGGGGAGACACAGGTCTGGACTTGGCACATCGCAGGCGCCCGAGAAAGACAGCAAGGCCTTTAATGACAGCCTGGCAAGAAAGCAATGCCACTACTTGCGTTTCAGTTTTCCACCCGGGGCGGGGCTCGGAGCGGGGTGTGGTGAGCGTCCTGGGCGGAGCTTAGTGGAAGGGGCGGGGGCGCGCTGGGTGGGGCCGGCGAGGCAGTGAGAGAAGGGGCGGAGCCTCACCTCGGAACGGTAGCGCGAGACCTCAGGCCTTTCCGACGCGTGACGCAAACTACAGCTCCCACAACACCCCGCGGTCTCGCAGCTGGCCTCCGTGGTCGCGAGAAGAAGCCGCTGGGGGCGTCTGCGCAGACAAACGGAAGTGTAGGTGACGGTCTGAGGCAGCGCCGCCAAGCTGGGCACCGGGGAGATGGCCGAGACTGACCCCAAGACCGTGCAGGATCTCACCTCTGTGGTAAGGGATCTCACCTCTGTGAGCGTCCGAGGCCGCGGCACCCCCGGGCGGCGCTGGCGAGGCCCGCGGACCGAGGCGCCCCCTCAGCGGCCGCTGGGGCTGGTCTCTGGAGGCCCCGTTTCTAGGGGCTCCAACGGCCGAGGCCTCGCCACCTGAGCCCCGGGCCGATGGCCTTAGCCCCTGCCCCTGCTGACGCGCGCAGGCCAGACCCCCCGCAGCCCCATTCGCTCGCTGACCGCCGGGTCTCCGCCAGCTCCCGTCCCCACCCCCTCGGCCTTGCGCGCCCCACCCGGCGAGTCCTCCCTCACACCCGGTGTCTCGGAGCCGTCCGAAGCTCCCAAAAGACCCAACAAATTGTGAAAAGCAGCGGGCCCCCCAAGTCTGATTTGACAGGTGGGGAAACTGAAATCCCAGGGACAGGGAAATTGAAGGCCACGGAGCCGCGGAGGATTGGGGCTGGAACCTGGGATCCTGGCCTCTCCCTGGGACCAGGGCGCCTCTCCTGATCCCGTGAAGGTGACTCGGATGAGCGTAGGGTGTTGTGTTTTGTTGTTTCATAGGTGCAGACACTCCTGCAGCAGATGCAAGATAAATTTCAGACTATGTCCGACCAGATCATTGGAAGAAATATCCTTTATTTGTAGTCAGCCTCTTAGGGGTCTTTGGATCCCATTTTCTGGGTGGTGGTGTCTATAAATGGGTGGTTTGCAGGCCAACTTCCGCCAGTCATTTATCAAATTTTTTTTACGGAGTTTGGAGGTACTCTCTGAGAAGTGCTTGGCCAAGAGCTGGAGATCACAGTGAGCTAGGCTAGGTCCCTGGCTGCGAGGAACTTACAGTCTATCTATATAGTATTGTCGGGTATGATTGACTGTGGACTTTGAGCTATGTGTTTGATGTGTATCTCTCCTCTGATCCTCACCTGAGGGAGAGTTGGTAGTGTTAACCTTTGGGGGGTGAAGAAACGGGAAGCTTAGAAAAGGGAAAGAACTTGCTCAGGTCCCATCACTAGCAAAGTGCAGGGCTCTTAACCAGATACTAACAATATCCAAAGGAAGCTGGAAAACCCCACTTTCATTACGTCGCTGTGTTAAAGGCGGTAGTCTGCAGGGCCCTGGAGGAGAGGAGTAAGAAATGGGAGCTGTTACATGGTCCTTAGCTTCCCTACTTGACGACATGAGTAGTCGCATTGATGACCTGGAGAAAAACATTGCAGACCTCATGACCCAGGCCGGGGTGGAAGAAGTGGAAGGGGAAAACAAGATCCCCGCCACACAGAAGAGCTGAAGGTGAGAGGGGCGGTAGAAGTGTGATGCACTCAGTGTGATTTTTGATGTAGTCAGATTTTCTTCAGATCTGTCCTGGGCCCTGACCCAACAAGCATCCCTTTATTGGTACCCCTGTGGACTCCAGGCTTTGAATTTTCCATGCCAAACTAATTTATGTAAAATTTATTTTCCCTCTTTTATCAATTAGACCTGGATCTCTAATGTTAAGACCCTTGGTTAACATTAAATAACCACTGAGTTTATTTCATTACAGCCGAAGCAAATATATTTTGTTGGCCTGAAAATTCTCATCCCTGGCAGATTTTTCAATAGGTTTGGTTTTTTTCAAACAGATAACTCAAATACCCACATTGCCACCTTGATAAAGGCCGTCAATTCTGAGGATTCTCTGGGGAGCACCCCCTGCAATAGGTACATGCCAGGGCGATGACTGATTATGACTTAGATGACCTAGATTATGGTCACGTGAAGCCTTCACCCTAGAGTTGATTTAAATTTCCATTGTTCAGCTACAGATATCAGAAGAAAGACTAAAATCAAAAACATCCATTGTAGGAAGATAGCTAGACACACAGGTGACAGCCTTATTCTCACCAGAGTGGATTTCTTCAGGATAAGCCTTTATTTTTTTTTCATTAAAGGCTA